GCCTGCTAGAGCCCAATTACCTTTTAATTAGCTCTACACATACCCACTTAAGTGACTGAGACCGAGACACAACAGTCTCCATCACTTATTTACCTAAGTATTGCTACATTAGAGGAACAAAAACCGCCGTTGCTAACGTGCGCTGGGTGGCAACCCCGGAATCATATTAGAAGCAGAATAATTGCTTTTGATAACAGATTTGTACAGCTCAGGGCATGCCACATGTTTTTATTGATATTGGTGAGAAGAGAAGCTTTATGGCTGTATTACTTTATAAGATCGGTTTGGTTAGTTGCACAAGACCAGGAGTTGTGATTATTCGGCACTGACACTAGTATCGGTAGCTGTGCATCCCTAATTAATTTATTTTGGCCACTAGATGTCTCCCTCCTATTATATTCCATATACAAACGGTAACATTTATCTACAACATAATGAACCAGTAATTACTCATCTAGAACAAAATATACATAAATATTACATGTTAAAATGTAGGGGCAAAGAAATAGCATATAAAGTGGATATAAATTCTAAAAATTAATATTTTAAATATAAAACTAAGGCGAGAAAGGGTATTTACTCAAGAAGCAGTTTAAGGCAAATTCAATATTAAAGCCTTTTGGAGTGAGGGTTTCCAAAGCGAAAAGCCACCTTGATTCACTTTTGGAGACCTCCTTCTTCAAGTTCGAACCACTCCAATTCTTTTCGACTTCTTCAATCCCTATAAATTTTAATCCACTAGATTTTTTATATGGCATTCTTTAAAGTGCTTCTATACGCTATGTTTATCATAAACGTTTTGTATATTGTTGGCATGCTCCTCTATTATTTTCTTCAAGAATCTAATGGCCCTCCCCATGTACTGCAAGCCACAGGGACACTCCTGGGCAGATGGTGGCGAGTAACTCTTAAGGCCTGGCTAGTAGCTCAGGACTTGAAATTTTGAGCCCTGTAAAAGTATAATCTACTGCCTTCAATCAGTTCTTGAAGGGAGTAAAAAAACAAGATTTTCATCTCTTGTAATAAACATGTTAACAAAAACCTTGGGGTTTAATGAGGCATGAAACCAATGCATAGGTGTAAAAATGATATCAAAATTTAATGGATATACAATAATTTACACATTAAAATTCAACGTTCATATAAAGAAGACTGGCTTGTCCGGTCCCGACACAGATCCCCAGTTACCTCCCGGTCTGTAGACCTCTGTCTGTTCTCCGGCAACTGGTTGTCTGGTGGGTGATGGGTGATCCCATATCTCCCGGGTGAACTGCTTAGACTGGTAGTGTATTATCATTATTAGATTAGTCTTACATGGTCCCCTGAAGAAGCTGAGAGTGAAACCTGTCGGGACCGGACAAGCCAGTCTTACAGGAAGTTCCTAGTAGGATATTGGCATCAAATATGCTTTTAGAAAATGGATATGTATTTACACTTATAACTGGTTGATTTTTGTATATTCTGGATGACTGCTTGTTAAAAAATACATGCTTATTAGGGGGTTTTATATGAACCTTGAATGTTATTGTTTATATTGTTGTATGTCTATCACATTTTTATTTATTTTTACACCTATGCATTAGTTTCATGCCTCATTAAACCCCAAGGTTTTTGTTACCATGTATTACATAGGGGGAGAGGTATTATCAGGCTGCTGGTGTTGAGGCAATCCATGAATTTTGTTATTAATAGTAAGAATGTCACATGCCTGTTGGAGTGTCCAGTGGCTTGCAGAGTATGTGGGGAGGACCACTAGATTCTTGAAGAAAAGAACAGAGGAGCATGTCAACAAAACAATTAGGATAAACATAGCATATCGAAGCACTTTAAAGAATGCCACCAAATCACCCTAGTGGATTAAAATTTATAGTGATAGAAAAGAATTGGAGAGGTTCGAACTTGAAGAGGGAGGTTTCCAAAAGTGAATCAAGGTGGATTTTTGCTCTGGATACCCTCACGCCAAAAGGTCTTAAAGGAGAACTATGGGGTCAGTGTTTTTCCCCATAGTTCTCCTTAGGGTAACGGGAGGACACAAACCAGCTTCCTCCCGTTACCCTAAGCTCAGTATACCGCGAGCTACAGCTCGCGGTATACTGAGACGCCGCAGCCGGAGCCGATCCCGACCTGGACGTCGGGATCCGCCCAGCTGCGTGAGTGACAGCTGGCTCTGCCTATCTAGAGGCAGAGCCAGCTGTACCCTTCCCCCGTCCGTTCTGCCAGTCAGCGCTGGCAGATCGGAGACGGGAATCCAGCCCCTGTCATGGCAGACAGCCGTGACAGGATCGAGAGGTGAGCGAACCCGGTATGTGTTCGCTCACCTTCCGATCTATTGAGCCGACCTGTGACAGTCTCATTGTCACAGGTCGGCTAGAACTATGAGGTGAGTGGAAATCACTCATCTCATAGTTCTCCTTTAATATTGAATTTGTCTTAAACTGCTTCTTGAAGTAAATACCCTTTCTCGCTTTAATTTTATTTTTATGTTTAAAATATTCATTTTTAGAATATATATCCACTTTATATGCCCTTTCTTTGCCTCTACATTTTAATATGTAATGTATATGTATATTTTGTTATTTGAGTAATTACTTTTTTGTTATGTTGTAGATGAATGCTTACTTTGTATGTGGATTTTAATAGGAGGGAGACATCTAGTGGCCA